CCGTCTTGGGGACATTTTGGGTGATTGAATGCGATTTTTGGGTCCTCTAGGAGCGCTGTGGGGCCGCGTGGATGATTTTTGGAACCGTGTTTTGCCGTTTCGGGACACCCATGGGGCCGCGATGGGGCCGCTCTGTCGCCTGGGGTCTGGGGGTCCCCCGACACCGAAAAACGTGATTTTGATATGTTTTAGTAGGCATATATATATATATATATATATATATACACACGTTTTTATATATATATTATATATATATATATATATATATATATATATGTATGTATATGTGTGTATGCATTCATGTGTGTATGCATGCACGGACGTACATAGGAGTATATATAAGTGTGTGTATATAGATGGAGTGTAGATATATATGTTTATATCATTATATCTATATAGATATACATGTATATCTACATTTGTGCGTAAGCATGAATGTACATATACACGCATGTACATGCACTCGTCTATTCGAATTTGAGTTTGGTGTATTTGATGTTGTTTGTTCGTATACCCACCTGCCTCCGACAATTTTTCCACCGTGCCTGTGCAGCATTTCAAGTGGGAGCAATTCGGGAATGCAAAGGGACCTTTTGGGTGCCTGTTGGGCCAAACGGTCGACATCTGGGTTTGTGTTCCTGCTATTGGGCCTTTGTGGTGACCCTATCGAATCCCTCTTGGGCAGTTGAGGGCGTCTGTTGGGTCGTGTTTGGGCCTTATGGGGCCATTTTGGGGTTATGTCGGGGGTCTTTCGAGCCGTTTCGGGGTGTTCTTGGGGGCCTCTTGGGCCGTTTTGGAGTGTCGGGAGCTCGAAGAGGCCAATACCCAAACAGCATTGAAACATTTTAAAGGCATTCAATTGTTTTTGTATCCCGGGGCCCTCTGGGGAGCCCTTGGGGTCCTCTTTTGGCCTTCTCGGGGCCTCCTGAGCCCTCTTGGGGCGGACGGCTCGAATCGGCGGTTCGTGTTCACGGTCCTCTTGCGCATTCGGGCGACCTGTGGGCCGTTTTGGAGCCCTCTTGGGCCATCTTGGGGCCTTCGTGGAGGCCTCTTGGGCCTATTCGGGGCGGTCCTGCTGGCCTCTTGGGTCATGTCGGGACGTCGGAAGCTCGAGAAGGCGAAAACCAGGAACACATGCAAACACCTGATGTCAATCATTGATTTTTGTCGTCGAAGCCTTGTTTGGGAGGTTCTTGGGTCTCTCTTGAGACGCCTCGACGGCTTCATGTGCCGTCTAGAGAGGCCATTTTGGGCCGTCCAGAGGCCAACGTGGCTGGTCTTGGCCCGATATTTGGCTGTATTGGGGTCATTTGGTTTTCTGAAGCGCAGGTCCGTTGTATTTTGCAAAGGTGTTCTGGCTAGGGAAGTGGGAGCGGTGCGCGCGACGAAGGGCGACCCAGGGTGGGAGGGCCCCATAGAAAATTTCAGAAGGCCGACCAGACAGACTGTGGCTTTCATTCATGCCGCAACGTGCACACAGCACGGTGGCGGATTACTTAAGTCGCCTACAGCGAATCACCGCTGCCCCCTGCCTTTCGTAAGCGCCTGTGTCTTGAAATGTCGAGCGAAAGTTCTGCCACACTTGTGGACTGCGTGCTCCCCCAGCCGCTGAAGAACCGGCTGGGAAAGGGTCCTCTGGCAGCTATCCGGTTTTTTGTTCAAAGCCGTTTGGCTTTCTTGTGCTGCAGGGCGGATTGAAGCAGTTTGGCGCATTGTGTGGAACGCAGTTTTTGGGGCGTCCATGGGCCGTCTCGTGGCCTTTCTTGCGGCGACTTATCTTGACGGTCTTGGCTCTTTTGGGCGCTTGGGGCCGGCTCGGGGTCCCCTTGGGGCACTTTTGGGCTGCTTTGGGCTGGTCTACAGGGCCTCTCTGGCTGTTTGGACGCTTTTGGGGTTTAAGGCGCGAATCTCCGAAATCATCGAAACACCTCATGTTATCCAAAATTCGTGCCACTGGGGGCCTGTCGGGCAGTCTGACGGTCCTCTTGGGCCGTTTTGGAGGCATTTGGTGCTAATTTGGAGGCCACTTGGTTTATTTTGGGCAAAGTTGAAGACCACCAGGAGCCTCGTAGCGACACACTTGCAACAATCCTGCATGCGTAAACCGACGGTGTCCTGTTTTGCTAGGTTGCGGCGGGACCAGCCGAACGGCCTACGGAAATCGTCTTGGAAGGTCAAGTATCGCATTGATGTAATCTGCATTTTCTCTTTCACACACATATATATGTTCCTTAGCTTGCGGGATAATCCATCTATGTTCGGCGGGAGCGCCGTGGTTCGCACAGTCATCAGGTGAATTGTAATTCTGTTGATTCAGTGTCCGTAGTCCGACTTGTTTTTGCTCAAGCTGTTTTCTTGTCAGTCTAAGGGCCTCCCAAGACCTTTCCATGTGGCCGTCGTCACGCTATGGGGGTTCACGATGGGATCAGAGAGACAGTCTCGGCGGCACGCCATGCAGCCCGTTCATGTGGATGTGGAGGATAACGACACTGGTGTTGGTAGCGTCTCGTGTGACACTCTGCCGCGCCTCTCAGGAAACGGATCTGTCGAGCAGACGTACATCGAGGACCACACACACGGCCGTCTCCCATCCGAGCTCTGCGCGTGGATCAACCTCGTCTGCGTCCCGCAGAGTGCCGGCTGTACCTCATTGGCCGTCGGTGCTTGGTGCTGCGATGACGCATGTCGGAGGATCGGTTCCGCTGATGGGGCGGCCCGCGGTGCCTCCGCCAAGGCCGAGGCGAGCTCCTCCTACGGGGCCCCCATTGCAGATGCGCCTGGACGGGTGGCCGCAGCCGACAAGTGCTGGGCCGCGCAGTTGGCGTCGCCTGGTGATCGAGGTCGTGGGGGAGGCATTTGTACACGAACGTTTTGTGATTAGGGCCGATCCGAACGACGGCTCAGCCTGGGCTGCGACGCCTGATCGGGATGGGCATGAGGAGGACTACCGTTACGATCCCGACGTCGTCGGGTTTACCTTCTTGGATGATGCACGCGGCAACATGAGGATCTCGGACGAGGCTGCGATCGCACCTACGGGCCCGTTCGCGAGCGTGACGGCGGTGTCGGCCTGTACGCTGCCGTCGGGGATCACCGTGGCTGTCTTCTTGGAGTGGGTGTCGATGCAGAAGTCTGCCAGCTTCAGGGATGACAGGATTGATCTCTACGCGTCGGTGGTGAGTGAACGTCGAACTAAGAAGCCTCGTTTCGAGCATGGCGCCTGCAGTCGTACCTTCAATGGTGGTGCGTTGAAGTTGTTCGAGGAGCCTGAGGTCGATGGCCTCACGAAGGGTCCTCGCATCACGCTTGGCACCGCACAGACTCCGAGTTCTCAGGGGTCGATCTGTCAGACACAGGCTCGAGAGTGTCCCGTGGCGACTCGCATTCCTCCTGAGGAAAGGCCGGTGCACGAGTACAATCTGGTTCGCGAGGTTCTGAGGGCGTTGCAGCGCATCGATCAGTGTAACCTGCCGAACACGATAGGGGCCGCGCTGCTGGTGAGGCGCAGGAGTATGCTGGTGGAAGCGCGTGCCTCGTTCCCCAGCAACCCGGGCTACAGCGCAGCCAGCATCATGATGGGCTGGGCCGTGACACTCTTGAGCTTCACCGCTAGCAGGCTGAAGGACGAGGCGGCGATCTTGAAGGGAGAGAGGAAGGCATTCGATGAGTCCAGGCTCGGGGGAAAAGGTCAGCCCCCGCAGGACGAGGACAAGGACGTCAAGGACTAGGGGGTCGAGATCGACCCCTTCGGCACCCTCGCAGGTGCCCTCGCCGAGCGTCGTCTGCTGACGATGTTCGGCAACCGTGCAGCTCCTCGCGAGCTTCTACCTCTCCCTATACCCCCTTCATGGTCTTCGCCATCCTGGCCGAGGCATCGCTGCAGGAGGCTGCAGCAGCGCTTCGACCGCAAGAAGGCAGTTTTGAGCCGCGCCGTCGACGCCGTCAAGGCGCTGAATTGGTTGCATGGTGGGCGCCAGCCTCCAAGTTTTTCGAGTCCTACCCTGTCGCAGGCCACGGCTCTTCAACGCCTTCTGGATGTTCATCGGACGGACGTCCCGGAGATCGTTAATGCCGAGGCAGCCCGTGTGGAGTTGCTCGGCGCAGGACGGGACTACGCTGGTGGTCCTGAGCTTCCCATCGCAAGTTACGACAAGGACCTGCTCTCCATGCCCCAGCTCGGGGCGGAGCCCGTCGACCTGTCCACGGTGCTGGAGGGCAGGGCCAGAGAATGTCTCGTTAACTTCGAAGAGGAGATCTTGCACGGCCCCGACGATTGGGGTCATATTACTGAGTGTGAGGAGCATGTCAAGCCGTGCATGGATCCAGTGCTTAAGACCGACGCCGACGCTTACTTCGACTTCGTGATGAGGGGTCACAGGTCTGGTTTGTTTCGCTTCGGCCGCGCGTCCCACGTCATCGTTACACCTTTCTTTGTGAGGAAGAAGGCCGGCACTTTGAGATTGATACTTGACTGCCGCCCAAGTAATCGCAGGATGCGTGAGAGCCCCTACGTTCGGCTCGGAGGGCCGGCTGATGTGGCTCGACTGCTGCGCTCGCGGGGTGACGGGGGCCCGTGCGTGGCCCTCGGCGACGTGAAGGACTATTTTCATTGCTGCGGTCTTCCACCAGGCCTTAGTCCATATTTTTCCCTACCGCCCGTGTCAGGTCTGCGACTTCTTCAGGCTGGTATTCACAATGTAGAAGGTGTTCCCGTTCTTCCAGGTGACAGAATCTTTCCTCAGTCCAGGGTCGTTCCCATGGGTTGATCTTGGGCTTGTTACTTTGCGCAGTCTGCTACAACGTCCCTGGTGCATCGTTTCTCGGGCTCCGAGGGTGACAGCTTCCTGGAATCCTGTAAGCCTCCTCCTGGTCTCGATCGGCCCGCTTACAACGTCTACATAGACAACATTAGCATCTTTGGCCAAGGTAAGTCACAGACCGATAGGATCGCCAACCAGGTTTTTGACGGGGTCGAGAGTGTCGGCTTTCGGGTTCACGAGCGCGCGTCTGCCAGCAAGTGGGCTCTTACGCTCGGCCTAGAGATCGACTTCTTGCATGGCACTGTCCAAGGAAAAAGGCAGAAGAGGTGGAAGTTGAAGGCTGTTCTGGATTGTCTGGCAGGTGCTCCGTATGTGTCGGGTCAGGAGATTGAGAGACTTCTGGGCCATGCCACCTTCCACTTCGGTCCTAATCGGCTGTTCTTGTCCATCTTTAACAACGCCTATGACTTCATTCGTTCGAGTTACACTTCTCGAGTGCGTCTCTGGCCCTCGGTGGCAAGGGAGTGCTGGGCCGCTGGGTGTCTCATCTCGTTCGCGTTCGCAGATCTGGGAAGGGTCTTCGACCCGCTCGTGAGCTGTTTCGACGCTAGCAAGTGTGGGGCAGGGGTCGTCACGGCGCCTTGGGACTCGGCTCAGGTTCGTTCAGAATGCGAGTGGGAGGAGAGGTGGCGGTTCAAGTGGGATGTGTACGATCGGGTTGCGCCCAGGGACAACAATTTCTTATCGCTGGACTGGGGGGGCATCGAAAGCGTCAAGCCCTGTCGTGACAGGTCGTCGCTCTGGTCCCTGGACAAGTCGTTCAGAGAGGTCCCGAAGGAGAACCTAGTGGGCCCCACCTGGACCAAGGTCGTTCGGAGTTTTTGGAAGGACGAGGAGCCGATATTCTGTCTGGAGGCCCGCGCGGGCCTGCTGGCGGTGCGTCATAAGTTACGGGCGGTCTCAAGTTTCGGTAAGACTCATCTGCACCTCGGGGACTCCATGACCGCCATCCTGGCTTTCGAGAAGGGGGGGCCAAACATCGAGGTCTTCTGGGTGCCTGTCGTCGTCTTTTGGCTCTGAGCGTGGCTTCCAACACCAGACATCACTTCAGGTGGGTGCCTTCAGAGCTGAACCCGGGTGACCCTGATTCACGCTACTTCGAGCTCCCAGTCGACAGCGAGGGCCGACGCTCGCTTCGTCTCTCCACGTCTCGTGCCTGGACGGTGCAGGCAGACGGCAAGGGGGGTTGGCGGGTCGTCGATCCAGGCGGTGGTGCTCACGCTGACGGCGGACCCTCTGGACACGGTGGTGGCCGAGAATACACGTCGGCCAGCTCGACACCTGGTGCTCAAGCGACAGAGGGCTTTGGAGCGCGTCCGTGCCATCGGGGGCGTGGTTCCAGCCCTGAGGGCTCGGAAGGGCGATCGCACAGTGCTGGAGAACTCTCACCCGTCGGCTCCCGACAGGAGGACCTACTGTCGGCGGCTCGACACGTTTTGGGAGTTCGGTCGAAGCCAAGGTCTCTCCTTGGCCAACCTGAAAGCCTGCGACGACGCGCTGTGCGGCTTTGCCGACCTGCTGTTCCTGGACGGCGAACAGTTCGACGTGAGGACCAAGCTCCTGGTCGCGCTGGAGGACCACGACGTGCAGCGGTTCGGCAAGCCCAGCCTTCCTCGGTTTCGGCGGGTTCTTCGAGCTTCGCATCGGAAGGGGCCTGTGGGCAGCAGGGGCCCTCTACCGTTCCGCCTTCTGGCGGGCATCCTGGGCATCCTGTCGCTCCATGGCTTCCACGAGGAGGTGCTGGCGCTGGCCCTCATGTTCATCTGCTACCTGCGCCTGTGCGAGCTCGTGAGGGTGGCCGAAGGCGACCCTCTCGAGCCCGTGGCCAACGCGGGCGTGGCCCTCGCGTGTTGGAGTCTACTCCTGCGGCCTTTCGGGAGGGAGGAGCCGACCAAGGTCGGCCATCTCGACGACACGTTCCCGCTCGACAGCCCCGACTTCCCCAGCTTGGGGGCCCTCCTTGCTGGATTGCGCGGAGGGGGCGCGGAGGTCTGGCTCTTCAGTTCCAGCCAGATGCAGCTGCTGCGCCGCTTTCAGGCGGCTTGCCGCGCAGCGGGCCTGGACTCGCTGAACATCGAGATGTTTCAGCTTCGCCACGGAGGGGCGTCGAGGGACTTCCTGATGTATACGAGGGAGTTCCAGGCGGTCGACCTGCGGGGGCGCTGGACGAACGATCGCACTTTGCTTCGCTGCATGAAGGCGGGCGGGGGGCAACTGCTTCACAAGGGTATGGCGCCCGTGTCCAACCGCTGGTGCCAGGAGGCGGAGGCCAACCTTTCGCTCGCCCTTCACGGCGGATGGCTGCCTTCCCTTCGGCCGCCAAGAGCCTGCCTCGGTCTCTCACGGGCGGGTTTGTGATCGAGGTCTTCTCAGGCAGCGGTAGGCTGGCCAAGTCCTTCGCGGAGCTGGGCCTCTCGGCGCTGACCTGGGACATCGAGCGCGGCCCCGCTGGCGACTTGCTGGGCGAGGGCGTTCTGCGCTGCGTGCTGTCGTACATCGCCTCTGGTAGGTGTCTTTTCCTCTGGTTGGGCACGCCTTGCAGTTCTTTTTCTCGGGCCCGTAAAAACGACGGTCGCGGCCCTGGGCCTCTTCGGGGCCCCTGGCACCTGGAAGGCCGCCCCGAGCTTTCTCCCCCCGACCTCGCCAAGGTCGAGAACGGGAACCGTCTTTTAGAGGCCTCGCTAATGCTAATGCGATGTGCGGCAGCTCACAACGTCCCAGCGGTGTTGGAAAACCCTAACACGAGTTTTTGATGGGACATGCCTCAGATGCTAGAATTTCGGTCATCTCATGACACTAAGTTCACGGTGCTTCATTTCTGTCAGTATGGAGAGCTTCGGGTTAAGCCCACCCGTCCGCTCCTCCTGTCTTGCTCTCACCTTTCGGCCGTTGGAAAAACTTGCACTGGCCGCGGTGTGTGTTCCAGGACTGGAAAGCCCCACGTCGTGCTTCGGGGCAAGGGCCCAACTGGAACCTTCTGGGCCCTCCGCGCTCAGCCTTATCCTCGTCAGCTCACTCGTGCCGTTGCTTCGCTGATGATGTCTCACTTCATCAGTGCCGGAGGCTCCTCCTCTTAAGCCTTCGGCCAGAACGCTACTCTGGTGCGGGTGTGGGTGCTCTTTTGTGGCCCTTGGTGGTTGGTTGCCCCCTGCTGCCCTTGCCTGGTGGCGTCGGCGGGATGACTTCGGGTCCCCGTCCAGGCCCGCTGGGCCAGGGTAGCAGTTGGGCTACCAGCCTCCTGCCACGGCAAGATCTGTGCCTCTGGCGGTGAATAGTTTTACAGTCTTCGAGCCTCGGTGAGATGCTCTCTCTGGCGCGTTAGCAGAACGTGAATATGGATGTTCCTTAGCTTGCGGGATAATCCATCTATGTTCGGCGGGAGCGCCGTGGTTCGCACAGTCATCAGGTGAATTGTAATTCTGTTGATTCTGTGTCCGTAGTCCGACTTGTTTTTGCTCCCCACCCACTCCACCCTTTCTTGGGGTGCTCTTTTGTGGCCCTTGGTGGTTGGTTGCCCCCTGCTGCCCTTGCCTGGTGGCGTCGGCGGGGTGACTTCGGGTCCCCGTCCACGCCCGCTGGGCCAGGGTAGCAGTTGGGCTACCAGCCTCCTGCCACGGCAAGATCTGTGCCTCTGGCGGTGAATAGTTTTACAGTCTTCGAGCCTCGGTGAGATGCTCTCTCTGGCGCGTTAGCAGAACGTGAATATGGATGTTTATATATATTTATATGTATGTTTGCAAAGTCGCATAGGCATATATGTGATGCTATACTACACACATCTACACACATGGATCCATATACATTTACATTTGCGTAGACATATGTACAGACATTTACATGCATACATACACGTACACATACACATACACACATACAAGTACATGCACGCATGCAAATCCATATACATATGCACATACATTTACATACACATATAAACACATGCATACACACATACATCTACATACATGTACACATGTAGCTTTACATGCGCACATATACGTGCACATCTATACGCATGTACATGCACATGCATTATGGTTGTGTATCCGAGCATGCGTGAACATATACATATACTTGTATACATTTGTGTAATATGAGAGTGCCTATGCTGATTTCAGGTGTGTGCGTATACAAACCTACAACTCTGCTGTGGCGCTTCGCACCATGCATCTTAGCCCCTCAATTTTCGCACGTCGGCGGAATGAGGAGAGACATGCGTAACACATGTGTGTATCCTTGTACATACCTGCACATCATATGGAGAGAGAGAGAGAGAGAGAGATATCAAGAGAGAGAGAGAGAGAGAGAGAGAGAGAGAGCGATATAGAGAGATAACGAGAGAGGAAGAGAGAGAGAGAGAGAGAGAGCGAGAGAGTGAGAGAGAGAGAGAGAGAGAGAGAGAGAGAGATAGAGAGAGAGAGAGAGAGAGAGACACAGCGACAGAGAAGGAGACAGAGAGAGAGAGATAGAGAACACATAGAGACAACTACATGACTGGACACAACGAAGCAGACACACATATTCATACATACATATATATGTTTATATAGTTGTTTCTTGTCGACACACGGAGGGTTATAGTTATGGTAAGAACATATCATCGGTCATAGTTTCGGTCTCGTCCCTATAATTCCCTTTTTCTCACGCTTCGTCTTCCCCTTTTTCCTGAGCTTTTCCTGCCCCCCTCCCTGTCTCACTTGTCATGTTTTTTTGTAGATGCTGCTCGTTAGAGGGTCTTGTGGGGGCCACTCGGAAGCCTCTTATGGGGGCTTCCCTGGTGCTTCCTGAGTCCTTCTTGCAGCGTTACGGAGGCCTCCTTGGGCTCCTTGGGGCCACGTTGCTGCCAACCGCGGTCTCATTGAACGACTGGGCCAAGATGTCCATCTCTCGGGGGGGGGCGGGGGGCGTGTTGGAGCTCTCTTGTGCCGTCACGGGGCTTTTTTTCTTGCCGTTTTGGGGAGCTGTTGGTCCGTATTGGGGCTCTCTTAACCTGCCTGGAAACACTGTTGGTTCGTTGTCGGGCATTTTTTCGAACATATTTTTTTTTTTTTTGCGTTTGGAGGGTCTTGTTGGGTCGTCTTCGGGCGTTGTAGGGGCGTCTGGAGCCGCTCGAACCTCTCGCAGGGCCGTTTGGTCGTCGCCCTCCTGACCCGCTCTGGTCCCCTTGGCTAGGCCCAGCGGGAACTTCCAAGATGCGTGGACAGCCTGTAGAACCCTCTGCAGGGGCGTCCAGGAGGCCTGAGGGGACCATAATTCGTCTGGTATGGGGTGGGGCATGTCTCTGGCCTTCTAGCAATACGTGAGTAGGATTTTTTCTGGCACGCCAGCCAACATTGGATACAGTGGAAGCCCATGTCAAGAAACACCCTGCTTGCCTCCAGTGTGCCCTGGGTTGCTTGGATTCCGATGGTTCTGCTATGGAAAGCGTGACGTCCCCACGCCAACAATCCATGGACTTCCTGGGTTCTCAGGGTTGGGTTTCTTGCGGAGGGTTTATTGTGGTCAAGCTCCTGCTGTAATTCACAGGGGGCGCCAGATCCAGTGCCATCGCTTCGGAGTCGTGCCCTGAGATCTCGAGGTGCGGTGGATATGGGTCTCTGCCCGCCCGCGACGGCGGGCAGATATCTGCTCCCCGAGTCCTCGGGACACGACCCAGCGGCAGGGGACATGATCATGCTTTGGCGGCAGTGCCGTTCTGGCCGTCACGCCACCGTGCCTGGGTCTTGGGCCAGGGGCCTCTCTCGGTGTCTTTTTTTTGGGGGGGGGCATCTTCGGGGCCTCTTGGCGTCCTCTCGGGGGCTTCTTCCTGGTTGCCTCTCGGGTCCGCTCTGGGGCCTTCTCGGGGACATCCTGGGCCGTCTCGGTGCCCTTTCGGACCATCTCTCGATGCCGTCTTTGGGACATCGCGGGCTCCTCTTGAGCCGTCTTGGGGGCCCACCTGGGGCCATCATGAGCTCCTATGAGGGGCCTTTAACTGGGGAGTGGGCCCCTCTGTGGCCGTCCTGGGCCTCTCTGGGACCATCTTTGGCCCCTCTTGGGGCGTCTGAGGGTCATCTGGGGGGCGTCTTCGGCCGTCCTGGACGCTCTGAAGACTGGAAAGGCGAGCATGCTGAACCCATACAGGGAGTTTGGCCCCTCGGGGATTATCTTGGAGCCCTCTGGGGGCGGCTCGAATTCTCTTGGAGTCATATTGTGAAGGCCTTACGGCCGGTGCCGCCGACCCTGAAGGTATTGGCCGTCGATGGCGACGGGATGTGTGAACACAGGAAGGAGCTAAATGACAACGTGACAGGGTGGGCGGACGAAGTGTGTGAGGAGGAGGAGGAGGAGGAGGAGGAGGAGGAGGAGGAGGAGGAGGAGGAGGAGGAGGAGGAGGAGGAGGAGGAGGAGGAGGAGGAGGAGA